TTCTTCTCAATTCTTCTCAATTCTTCTCAATTCTTATCAATTCTTATCAATTCTTATCCAATCCAATCAATTTCCCAGGTCGGTCACAACATTTACATTCTGGCGCATCAGTTGGCAAGACATTCAGATGAATTGGAACACTGGTTAGATCCAGAAGATGAGCATAAAAGTAAAGTTTTATGAAAAACGAAAAACCTATTCGTGTTTCTTAGGTGACGAAAATCGAGAAGCTCTTCGCTTCTACAAGGATCACACGGCACAGATTGAGGTTCAGAAAGATAAAGAAGAATTAGAAAGAATTAGAAAGAATTAGAAAGAATCTAGATTTATCTAGAGATCGATTTTAGAGCTCTTTGCTTTATTTAGAGAGAGTTTATCGAAAGATCCATTCATTTTTTTTTCACAGATTGTTCGCCGTGATCGAACACTTGAACGAGTCGTTTTCCCAATTCATCCAACATGCTCTTTCCTCACGAAAGAAACGAAACAATTCGTTTATGAAAATACGGAAAGAGATGCACAGGTATGGAAGAAGGAAATTATAGAAAAAGGTGAAAAGAAAGTTCTTGGAAAAAGTTTGCACGGTGAATCAATAAAATCAAATATCAAATCAATAAAATCAAATACAGTACAGAGCTGATTTTCCGTTTCCGTTTGATTTCATTTTGGTTACTGTAAGAAAAATGACTGATTATCAGACACAGAAAGGCTTGCTTGTCAATCAAATTCTGCTGTGCATCTCTGTCATTCTTTCTATTGGGTTGGTGGAAAAGTCCTTTCGGATTTTTTGGGAGAGTACCTTAAATTTGTCCAATTTTGACGTTTTATAGCTCATCCTAAAGCTGAATTCAAGACGGATCGATTGGTAAAAACCGTTTTGAGATATCTCTTTTCTAAAAGATTTTACAGCTATTTTAGTAAAGGGCGGCAGAGCCAAAAAAAATGGCTGTTTTCACGTTTCGTTAGTTTTCCGTGCAGAAACCTAGGCGAAAAACATGTGTTTCGTGCTCAGCGTCAAAAATAACCCTTAGACACAAATTTTCAGAATCTTAGCAAAAAATTTTTGAAAATATTGTCACCGGTGGAAGTCGAACCAGCGACCCTCAGATCAATAGCCTTTCCGCCGCTTTTCGCGATTTTCTTTCTTTTTTTTTTGTTTTATCATTGTTTGATGTTGTTAGAGGGCTTTTTTCAGGGTACAAAAGAAAGAAAAAAAAAGAAAGAAAATCGCGAAAAGCGGCGGAAAGGCTATTGATCTGAGGGTCGCTGGTTCGACTTCCACCGGGACAAACAAAAAGCTAGACTGAAAATTTGTGTCTAAGGGTTATTTTGCGCTGAGCACGAAACACATGTTTTTAGCCTAGGTTTCAGCACGGAAAACTAACGAAACGTGAAAACAGCCATTTTTTTTTGGCTCTGCCGCCCTTTACTAAAATAGCTGTAAAATCTTTTAGAAAAGAGATATCTCAAAACGGTTTTTACCAATCGATCCGTCTTGAATTCAGCTTTAGGATGAGCTATAAAACGTCAAAATTGGACAAATCTAAGGTACTCTCCCAAAAAATCCGAAAGGACTTTTCCACCAACCCAATATTAGGCTGGCAAGAAAGTTCTCGGAAAAAGTTTGCACGGTGATTTCTCAAAAATCAACCCATCAATTCTTCCAAAATTTAAATAATAGAACAAAATGTTCCTTGACTTCGTGGATTCGTTTTTAAGAAATTCTAGACAAACTCTTTCTGAGAACTTTCTTTCCTTTCCAACCTAATAGAACCCAAGAATCTTGATCGAAAAGAGAAACGCTCAAAACGCTATTTCCAGGGCTCAAAAGTAACCGAATTCTTCGAGCAATGGGAAGAATTGTATGAGGAAATGAGATGGCAAGAGAAGCTACAAAGTAAGTTAAAGGATTAAAGGATTTCAAGGATTCAATATTCCATCAGTTAATTGTAAGTACTTCAATAATCGGATTCTTTTCTTTATTTTGGCTAGTTTTCGTTTAACAGGTTGTAGAAAATACAGCCAAATTTAAGCCAAACGAAACAAAAATACAACTCGTGTCCAAGCTAGGCACAAAAAAGCTGCCCAACACATCAGCTTTCGTCAAAGTTTCTTGTGCCAAAATATTAGGTTGGCCGGAAAGTTCTTTCCGTTTTTTGCCCGCTAGATCTAACTTTTTATTTTACGCATCAAAAACGTCAAATAAAAAAAAAGAATTTATCTACTCGAAAGAGACATCAATAACATCAAGAACATCAATAACATCAATAACATCAAGAACATCAAGAACAACAAGAACATCCTGCCGTCAATAACATCCTGCCGTCAACATCAATAACATCCTGCCACTTATCCAGCAACAAATAGATTCCACGGCGGTAAAACTCACGTGGCTTCGAATCGAAAAACTGAGTGAGTGACAAGCGCATTTCCTCGACGTTTTGAAAGATCTTTCCACGCAAATGATGCTCCAGAGACCTGAAAAAATGATAATCGGACGATTCTGGACAAAATACCTGAACAGATGATAGTTCGATATGTCACTCACTCAGTTTTTCGATTCGAAGCCACGTGAATTTTTGTTCTATCGGCTTTGTTCAGTTCTATTGGTTTTGTTCTGTTCTATCAATTTTGTTCGGAATCTATTTGTTGCCGGATAAGTGGCAGAATGTTATTGATGTTATTGATGTTATTGATGTCTCTTTCGAGTAGATAAATTCTGTTTTTTTTATTTGGCATTTTTGATGCGTAAAATAAAAAGTTAGATCTAGCGAGCAAAAAAAAGGAAAAAAAACTTTCCGGCCAACCTAATACTTCAATAAGACTCTGGTTTCTGTGTGAATGAACCATAGAGTTTCATACTTTCATACTACGTAAGCTTCCTATTGAAGTTGTAATATAGAGCTGTTGAGTTGAGTAGAGCCTTGATCGCAAGTTGTAATATAGAGCTGTTGAGTTGAGTAGTTGAGTAGAGCTGTAAGTAGAGTAGAGCTGTAAGTTAAGTAGAGCTGTAAGTAGAGCTGAAGTCAGTTTGCGACTGATTGAACAAATCAAATGTGCAATGATTCTCGAAATCCTCGAATTCAGATCGTCGAATTCTCTCTTGGTGCACTCAACGTCTCCGTTTATGGGGTCGTCTGTGTCTTTTCTTTGCAATTCTCGTCAATATCATTGTTGCTCTTCATTTCCCGTTTGAGAGAGATGACGGTTTGTTTGGATCAAATTTGGATCAAGTTTTCTGATAAACTAGAATACTAATCTATCTATCTATCTATCTATCTATCTATCTATCTATCAATATCGATTTACAGTGCCTTACACTCATCCTGATACCTCTGTGTTAGCGGGAGCTTTCGGCTCGCTCGCTTTTCTTTATTTTCGATGGGATGACACGTGAGTTTGTTAAATTTGAGTAAATTAACAAAAAAAAAAGAAAATTAGCATTTAATTAAATAATCCTAAAGTAAGTAAAGTAAATAAGCGTTTTATATCGAATTTTTTAATTCCAGCTCAGCTGTCGGGACTTCTTGGGGTTTCATGTGGTGTATCGCTTTCTTTATGTTTTCTTTTTCGACTCTTCTGATGAATGTGATCGGATTGGTGCCGGCTCTATGGATTATTGGAATATTTCAGGTAGATATCCTAAGCGTAAATACTGTAATAGTACCCCACCGCCCATAATGACGGTGCGGAGCGTTGCGTAGTCTGGCTTTGAACGAGTTTTTCTCGATACTTGTTTATGATACAATGCGCGCTTAGGTACCAAAAAATAGCCCTGAATTTCAGCTATTTTTTGATACCAAAGTGCGCATTGTAGCATAAAGCAGCGCGGAGAACGGGATGTTTAAAGTTAGACTACGCAACCAAGCAGGAAATTGAGCGAAAAACTTTTTAAACATCAATACATTAAAGTTTTTAAATTATTTGAACCACCCAGAGGGGGTTCTTCAAAGATTTGCGAACATTTAAGTGCAATTGTGTCGAACTCATCCCCCCACACGAGGCCTCAAATCCTCGCGTTTCCCGAGTTCGATTTACACAAGCGGACGAACATATCCCCCAATAAGTGCAACATATTAGCCTCTAAAGTCAAAAAAGAAACATGAAAACTTTTGAAAAAGTCTTATCTTTTACCCGTTAAAGTTTAGAGTTTCAGTTTCAGTTTAAAGCAGATTCAACGTTGAGTTGACTTTGTTTATAATCGAATCTAATCCATATATA